TGCTGAAGACTTACGACCGCAGACCGTTAGAAGTTCTACTACACGGACGCTCTACGAAGCTACTAAGGTATCTGATAACCAGCGATCGACACAATCAAGTTCCACGACACGTGAAACGAAGCCCAACTTGTAAAGAAAACGAAACATGAACCATTTATGCTAGACATTAAACTAATTAACGACGAAACCCGAATGTCACAAAACAAAACTAATAGAAACCAGGAAAATGGGAAACTGGTTAATACAACTGGTTAATTTTGCGACGTTAATTTTTCGCGGTTGTCCCAATCGGAACTGGTCCGCGGGGTTTCAATTTCGAGCAACATTACCATCTAAGAATATTGTGGTTACGATAGCAATTAAAGTAAGGGGATTTAATTATCAAAATTAAATTAAGTACTGTATTGGACAGTTTTATCTCCATTTTCAGAAATAAACCAGTAAACATATTTTTCTTTATCTCATTATAATTATATTCGAGAAAAATATTATTGATGGTATAACTATTCGCTTGGGTTTTAAATTTGCACTATTTTTGGCATCCTCGATACTCCAGGGGTTACGCGCACTTTAGCTCTTCACACCCCTGGAATATGTCATAGCAAAATCGAAGGCTCAGTGTGATGCGACAAGCAAACTAATTTGATCCTTTGATGTACATCAAAAGAATTTCGCGGTCGCGTAACGGTAAAATTTTCTGGCTTTGAAGTCGGGTGACGCTCGTCTGTAATCTTCAAAGGACAGGAACCAGCCTAATGTTTGACCAGGGTTAATTTTTACCTAAACCCAATCAAATATCTTGCCGGGTGCCTACCATATTGCTATGGCATGTCCCAGGGGTGAAGGGAGCGATAGTGAGCGTAACCCCTCGAACATGCAGGATGTATGTTTGGTGACCTCAAATACAGCGAAATCGAATCCTCCACGAATATTACCAATTATACAGTAGGTTTATGAAATCCTCGTACATCATTTAAGTAAGGAGACTTGATAAGGGTTTGAGTAAATTACCACTTTAAAAAAAATATGTTTTATTGCTATCAATCCATAATTCCTATTCATTATGCATTGGTTATTATGGTAAAACGTTCTTCATCTTGTAATTATGACTATATATTTACAATGCATCATGGTATTTGTCTAGTGCCATAGACTTCTACAAGTTTTTCTTTGTTTTCCATTTTCTACCCAGCTTGTTCTTTTCTTCTTTTGTAAATCAATGCAATACAGGTATCAAGGAGGAAGTATTAATTTTTCAAGTATTTATACTAAATGTTTAATTTATCTCAGAAACCCAATTAAAAACAAAACTATGCAAATTGTCCTTAATATCACACGATAATAACAACCACTGAAAAATACTATGATAACATCAAAATGATCTGTTGTTTTCGAAAACTATTTGTAAAACTATACCTTTTAACTGTATTTACGAAAAAGGGGAATCATTCATGTTATTTTCAAATCCTACAAAGAAACTTGCATTTATAATATCAGAGAAAAATAAGAGCTGATCAGATATAAAAAAAAATATAAACTGAGTCAATGTTTTGACCAAAGGAAAATTGTTCAAACATTTATATAAGTCTTAATACAAAATAACGATAAACTGTCATTCCAAATGAAAGGAACATTATCAGTTAAACAAACACTCAAAGTGAATGACATGAGTGAACTTTAAACAACAAATCTTGATTTATTCTCCTATTACATTTAATCTTACAGTCTAGATGCTAATTGGTCCCTTTACATTTGTATGACATATATTGTTGAATCTATAATCTAGGTCAGTTGACCACGTACTTTAGAATATATATGATAATTTTGTAAATACATCAGTTTAATTTGGACGGAACATTTATATGCACTCGTTTAGTTGTTAGACCATTGACATAGATTGGCTTTCAATCGCTGTATGGTCAATATTGTGAAAACGATTAATAGATCAATATAAATTTAGATTACTTTCTTGTCACCTTGGTATTCCCATGGTTCGTAAACATATTCACGATGCTTTGTGATGTGGTCAATATTTTGAAATACAAATATTTTTCAACATACAAAATTTGGAGTTCATAATAAACACAAATCTCTAATAAAACTTTTAATTGAAATAGAATCGTTTTCTGTTGAAATGCTGCAGGGTACGAAAAGGTCAAATCAGGTTATATAAAATAACTAGGAGGGATATTTTGAATCATTTTGAAGAATCAGCCATGTTGGACCGCAGTACTTTCCGATTGGCAGGACTCTGTCTTGTGTTTGGTATTTTGCAATTTACAAATGCCGCTTCTTACAGGTTTGTTTTATAAATAATTTAATAACGTCAGTTGTAAATACCAAGTCAAGTTCAACCATATAGATATACAATAGATTGTGGTTTTTTTATGATTTTTAACACTGAAAAGGAAACTTTTGTTTAGTCGAAAAAACAACTTTTGACTAATAGCTCGTTTTGTGTAAGTTACATGTAGCTTAGAAAAATTATAATGATAACCAGGATATTGTTTATTAAGCTTAACTACTTGTGATGTTTTCCTTTCTTCCAAGTTTGTCTTTAAATGCCAATAATCTTTAAAAAAGATCATAAAACAAATGTATAAAAAGACACAGAAGATATATTTTGCATATTTTTGGCTGCGGTGTCTGCGTGGTTAAGGCGTCTGACATTCTGCTACCACTAGCCCTCCACCACTGGGTCGTGGGTTCGAAGCCTACGTGGTGCAGTTGCAAGGTACTACCGCAATTCGGTGGTTTTTCTCTGGGTATTCTGGTTTTCATCCACCACCAATGCTTAGTATTAATAGCAGTTTATAGGACGTAAAACACACACAAACCAAATGAATAACTCCACTTGCAATTAATAACTACTGTCTGCTTTTTTATTTTTTAATAGTTGTCCATGTGGCGTTACAAGCAGGCGAGAAACATATGACTGTGGATTCTGGGGTTTGAGTCGCTGCTCAAGGTAAAAACAAATGAAGTTCAATGCGACTAATGACGTGCAACAGAACATCTGAGATCTATTACAATGTAATGATAAATTCTATAGGTTTAAGTAATGGTTTCATTTGTGTATATAAGGCTCATCATACATCAATAAAGAAATTAATATGCATGACATACTAAAATCCCAGTTTTCGTTGCTTGAAATGAAAAATAAAAAATAAATATATAAAAAAAGTAAATAAAAAGTTAGAAAGTCATTGATTGTTTGTGCTACTATCAACTTAATTAGGAAGAAATTACGGTAAGCGATAGATGTGATGGTCTTAAATGATCCAATACGAACATCAATTAGATCGATTCACTGATTGCATTAATCAATTATCTTATAAAATAATGGATTGCCACAGATAGTTTCATTCTCGATACTCCATGCGTTATGGTCACTTTCGCTCTCTGCACCCCTGCACTATGTCATAGCAAAGTCGAAGGCTCGTTTTGCGCAACCTTGTGGATTAGACGAGGAGGCTAGCTTGACTCTTTGAATCTTTCGGTAGCGTAACGGTAAAGTTGACTGGCTTTGAAGTCATGTGTCCTCTCTTTGTTATCTTCAAACGACAGGTGTCAACCTAGCAATCGGTCAGATTATTTTTACCTGAAACCAATCAAATACCTAGCCGCGTGGCTTCCATTTTGCATGACATATTCGAGGGGTGCAGAGAGCGAAAGTGAGCGTAACCCCTCGGATATCGAGGATGAGATAGTCTGTGCTGCAACATTTTTCATATTAGCTAGTAACAATAAGAAATGAAAAAAAGGACATTACGCACCTGGTTTTATGTCAGTCTGCGTTGCATGCAATATGCAATACTTAAATATCTTATCATAGACAAAAAATCGATTCAAAGATTTTCGCATCCTCGATACTCCAGGGGCTACGCTCACTTACGCTCTCTTCAACCCTGGAATAGGACATAGCAAAATTGAATGCAAAGTATTAGGTAAAAAAAGATCAGACCAAATACTAGGCTTATACCTATCCTTTGAAGATTAACGAGGAGCGACACTTAACTTCAAAACCAGTCAATTTTACCGTTAGGCGACCGCGAGATTCTTTTCATGTACATGAAATGATCAAACTAGCCTTCTTGCCTCATCAACAGGGTGATGCACACTGTCGGCTTTGCTACGACATAGTCAAGGGGATTAGAGATCGTGAGGTAGCCCAACAACTGAACGTAAGGTAGCCTAACAACTGAAGTATTGAGAATTAGATTATCGTTGTCTGTTCATTAAAACCGAACCCGTCAAATCAACGCTTACTGATGTTTTTGTAAAATCAGGAAGAAGTTAACTGTCTGGTTGTATTTTTTATTAATGTATAACAAATATGTATTTATTTACAGGTATATTACATCAACCAAGATGTGTCAATGTGGTAAGTGCTGGACAGATAAGCATATTTTTTTGTTGTTGTAGTTGGGACAATATATAATTCCTTTGCAAATCAGTTGAAGTTATATATAATGTGGATATATCTCTCTAACTAACTGTTGATTACGCATACCTCTCGCAAACTCAATGTTCACGAGAAATTTGCTTTTTACTTCAAGTTTATGTCTTACAGTGTATGTTATATAGCGAGGTCGTTGAATTCGCGATGGACGCATATTTGCGAGAGAAAAAACGATTGATAAGATTTGCGAAAAAAATAAATCGACATGCATCTTATCTACAGTCAAGCATTCCTGAAAGGATATATATAATTAGCAGTCAAACACAGATCCCATAAAAATCGAAATATATTTTCTATAAATATAAATAACAATGTTCCCAGTACTAAAGATAAGGAAACATCATACAGGCTATATCGAGTAATGAAACTGAAATTAAATATATTTTCGCATTAACTATTCCCCAGTTGTTTTAATTTGTTGAAATAAATTATGCTTGGCAGAAAAAATCAGATATGCCTCTTATGTAATAGTTGTTGTACATGTATATTCTGTAGTTGATGGAGGCTGGAGCGATTATACTACATGGCAGGAAAATTCTCCATGTAGCGTTTCATGTGACAGTGGGTCTCGCACAATGTCAAGGTCGCGGACGTGCAATAACCCGGCACCGGCATATGATGGCAAGGACTGTGAGGGCAGTTCCACTGAGTCCAAGACAGAATCTTGTAACAAGCAACAGTGTCCAGGTAAAACAAATTCAATAAATCATATTCATTTTACATAACTGACCAATTTTACTATGTCATATGGCCATGGCACAAATATGCTATTACACGCGTGTTATAAAACTTAAAAGTGCTGCGATTGGTCAAAACCGTGGGAACATATTCCTAAGTCACTACCTGTATTCCTTTTATTACCAAAGAGTGGTGCATTTTTTGTTCATAAATTTGAATGTTGGTGTTATTTAATGAATATGAAATGCTCATTTTGTCATTATTTAATTTAAAACTATTCATTATGAAAAATGAAACTACATTGCACTGCGCGTAACGACAATACTATGATCAAAGTACCTTGGGTTTGAACTTCATAGTGTCAGCTGATTGCAATAACTGCGTTTGAAGTTTTTATTTCCAAATTATGAATGCTATGTGTTAAATAGGATCTTCCATTCGTGTCCATGTCATATATTTAATTTATTAAACGAGTTAAAATTTGAAATGATACTCAATGGTTCCTGTTATATGAAATGATCGAACTCGTCTAATAAATAAGATATAACATTAACACTCATGTTAGATCCCCTATTTATCCCACAACTTCACTGTAATTTATGATACTACATTATTTTACCCTCATTATATAAATAGTGTTATGAAAACTAGAATGATAGAACCTTGTTTTGACGTCAAAACCTTAAGGCATCACGAAATGTGAATAACATAAATTAAAGCAAATTTTCGAAATTCTTTATTATTTCACGTCGGCCTGAAAAAATGATGACTTCCAGAAAACTTGCGACAAATTTTGTTTAAGAGAAAAAAAATATATCTTTCATTTAAGTCCATTTCATCATCCTCGATACTCCAGGGACTACGCTCACTTTCGCTCTTTACTCGTAGAAGAACCTGAGTGAGCGTAAACCCAGAAGTACCAAGGATGCCATTTCATATGATATTTATGAATCTCGTTACGGTGTTAAATCGAAAATTATCTGTAAGGGCCTGAAAAAATCTGCTACAAAGGACAGCGGAAACTTTCGAACTCGGTATAAGAACTTTTCAAATTGGTGACTATCATATGTACCACCACACTATCGACCTTAGCAAAAAAAAAACGCCATCAATATGAGATTTCAGCTAAAAATAAATTGAAGTTCCATTTGATTATATATAGTTGACGGAGGTTGGACTAAGTTTGGAAATTGGGTGCCAACTGAGTGCTCTGTTTCCTGTGGTGTTGGTGGGGAGCGGTCATTATCCAGATCGAGAACGTGCACAAGTCCTATGCCTAACTACGGCGGGAAACCATGTGCAGGCGTTTCTACTGAGTCAAAGAAGGAATCATGTAACTCTAACCCATGTCCAAGTAAGCGAAAGTACTTCGTAGTTACATTACAGTATGCAGTAGCATACTACAGCGGATGCCCTATAATGAAGGATCAAGTTATTCGAATTTTTAGCTATTAATCCGATGTTTTAATGCCATTTTCTGTTCAAATTTACCCCTTTCAAAAATCCTTTTCACAACCAAGCCATTTTAACAGAACACCAAAAGGTCGTATTGTCAGATTCCCGATATGTACAGTGTAAGCGTTACTTGTACTGGGACATTATCGCTGCAGTTATATTTTCGCCTTTTTGCCCTTAAATGCAGTGAATTTATGTTGACGGCGACTATTACTACATAGAATATCAAATAGTAATTACATGTTTTTTATGTTACCTACGGAGAGAGAATATCATCCTCGATGCTCTAGGGCTTACGCTCACTTTCGCTCTCTGCACCATTAGAATATGTCAAAACCAAATTGAAGGCACACGGCTAGCAATTTGATTGGTCTCATGTTAACAAACCTGACCAACCGCTAAGGTTGATACAGCCATTCCGGACTGATCATATCCAAACTCCGAACGGTAAATCTTTCCAACATTTCTTTAAAGTTCGGGAGGCTACCGTGTTTGTGTACGTGACAAAAGTCGTTTCCCCTCAGGTACAACAGTTGACCTGACCCAATGTGTATACATTGTGTGGTTTGGACCAAATGCACTATGCATTTAACGCTTGAGGCTAATTTTACTATTTTCTTTGATCAGTGAAACAGTCAGTCGTGCCGACTAATCGGTCCGTCATGACAGAGAGACAGATTGTCCGTGAATTGAACAACGTTATGCAAAGTGCAATTGGTCCAAACTACATATTGTGTACCCGTTTGCTCAGGTCAACTGTCACGTACACAAACATGGTAGCATCCCGAACTTCAAAGAAGTGTTGCAAAGATTCACCATTCGGTGTTTGGATTCGATCGATTCGAAATGGCTGTACCTGACTTTTGAAGATAACAGAGGAGAGACACCTGACTTTAAAGTCAGTCTATTTTACCATTACGCGACTGAGAGATTCTTTTGATGTACATCAAAGGATCAATCTAGTCTTTTTGTCTCATCAACAAGGTGGTGAACACTGAGCCTTCGACTTTGTCATGACATACTCCAGAGGTGTAGAAAACCTCAGAAAGCGTAACCCCTGGCGTATCGAGGATTGAAAAATATTTGATTAAGCGAAAGATTCTATTTTATTTTATTTGGATTTTGTACATTGGCAAAACGGAGATTTTATATCGCTCTAAATTTTGTTTATCTAAATTATATATATTGGCACTGGCAATTTCTCAATGGCCATGGTCTGAGTAAGTATATTTGTTTACCTACATGCGTCACGATTTATGACTGTTAATCCAGAATATTCCTGAGACATGTTTCTATTATTTAGTTGATGGAGGTTGGACCAAATTTGGAAATTGGGTGGCAGCCGAGTGTTCTGTTTCTTGTGGTGGTGGGGAGCGGTCATTATCCAGATCGAGAAAGTGCACAAGCCCTATGCCTAACTACGGCGGAAAACCATGTGTAGGCGTTTCTACTGAGTCAAAGAAGGAATCATGTAACTCTAACCCATGTCCAAGTAAGCGAAAGTACTTCGTAGTTACATTACAGTATGCAGTAGCATACTACAGCGGATGCCCGATAATGGAGAATCAAATTATTCGAATTTTTAGCAATTAATCCGATGTTTTAAATGCCATTTTCTGTTCAAATTTACCCCTTTCAAAAATCCTGTTCACAACCAAGCCACTTTAACAGAACACCAAAAGGTCGTATTGTCAGGGTCCCGATCTGTACAGTGTTAGCATTACTTGAACTGGGACATTATCGCTGCAGTTATATTTTCGCCTTTTTGCCCTTAAATGCAATGAGGGTAAATTTATGATGACAGCGACTACATGTATTACTACATAGAATATCATATAGTAATTATATATATTTTTTTAATTTTATCTGCCAAGGGAGATTATCATCCCCGATGCTCTAGGGCTTACGCTCACTTTCGCCTTTTGCACCCTTGGAAAATGTCAAAACTGGTTCGGGATGCCACCATGTTGGTGAACTGGACAAAAGCCGTTTCACCTCAGGAACAGCAGTTGACTTGACCCAATGTGTATACATTATGTAGTTTGGACCAATGCACTATGCATTTAATGCTTGAGGGTAATTTTACTATTTTCTTTGATCAGTGACACAGTCAGTCGTGCCGACTAATCGGTCCGTCATGACAGAGAGACAGATTGTCATGGAATTGAACAACGTTATGCATAGTGCAATTGGTCCAAACTACATATTGTATACTCATTGGGTCAGGTCAACAGCTGTACCTGAGGGGAAACGCTTTTGTCACGTACACAAACATGATAGCATCAACCCGGAATGGCTGTACCTGTCTTTTGAAGAATACAGACGAGAGACGCCTGAAAGTCAGTCTATTTTACCGTTACGCAACCGAGAGATTCTTTTGATGTACATCAAAGGACCAATCTCGTCTTCTTGTCTCATCAACAAGGTGGTGAACACTGAGCCTTCGATTTTGTTATGACATACTCCAGAGGTGTAGAAAACCTCAGAAAGCGTAACCCTGAAGTATCGAGGATTGGAGAATATTTGATTTAGCAAAAGATTCTATTTTAAATCATATGTATGTTGTGCATTGGCAAAATGGAGATTGTATATCGCTCTTAATTTTGTTTATCTAAAATATATATATTGGCACTGGCAATTTCTCAATGGGTATGGTCTAAGTAAGTGTATTTGTTAACCTATATGCGTCACGATTAATGACTGTTAATCCATAATATGCCTGTGAGAAAGAATAGACATGTTTCTATTATTTAGTTGATGGAGGTTGGACCGACTTTGGAAATTGGGTGGCAGCCGAGTGTTCTGTTTCTTGTGGTGGTGGTAAGCGGTCATTATTCAGATCGAGAACGTGCACGAATCCTACACCGCAATACGACGGGAAACCATGTGAAGACGCTTCTATTGAATGGAAGAAAGGACCATGTAACTCCAACCCATGTCCAAGTAAGAACAAGCGAATACAACTGTACACTGTGGCAGTATATAACCCAATGAGCTACGGTAGTGCAAAAATAGGAGAGATGGCCACGGTTTGCCACGGTATATATAACCGGTTACATACGGGTTATACCGTGGCCAATACCGTGACAGTGTGCCCGGAGCTTTACTGAACATGGTATGGCGTGATAAACGAAGTCCCATTGTATAAGTATTACATGTACCAGTATACAGCGTAATTTGCATCGGGATAACTTGCGCTGCAATGTAACTTCCGCCTTTTTCGCCTTATGCATTGAAGTGAATTTATTACTACAGCGAGTACTTCATTACCACAAAGCATGAACAAATCAGATTTCTCCGAACAATTCTCAAAAAAATCGCCTGTAATTCGACACAACCCAGCCACTTTGCCTTAAGATAATATGGCTTGATTAACGGCGTCCCATTTTATACACATGTAGTATTACTAGTGATCAGGGTCATGTACATAGGAATATCTTGCGCTTCAATTTAACTTTCGCTCTGTTCACCTTTTTCGCCTGATGCATTGAGGGTTAATTTATTCCGAAAGCGAGTACTACAATGTATTTCCAGGTATGCAATATAGAGCAGTTACATATGATGTAAAGGGCGAAATTAACACCGGCGACAATCTGACAAGATTTTAATCTCTATACGTACACATTCGAAAGAAATATGTGACATTCTTCAAGTTTTGAAACCAGGTAAAGCCTCTGGTGTCGATGGTATTAGTAATCATGTTAAAAGCAACTGCCAGTTCTGTATGTTATCAGTTAATTATTATCTTTATTATGTCTCTTTCTAGTGGTATGTATCCACAAGCCTGGAAACTTGCGAAACTAATGCCTTTGTTCGAGAAGGGAAAATGCATCTTCCTTCAAATTACCGACCTATATCTTTGTTATCTATTATTGAGAACGTTTTAGAAAGGGTTGTTTTTTAAACATATCCATAACTATGTTTTGGAAAACTCCTTCTTTTATCAACACCAGTCCGGTTTTATGCCGAATCATTCGACCTTATATCAACTCATTGAAATGTATCACAATATTTGTCTAGCTTTAGAAGAAAAAAAACATGCCTTTTTAGTTTTCTGCGACACTTCTAAGGCCTTTGATCGTGTTTGGCATACATGGCTCATTATTTAATAAAAGTCTTATGGGATAACTGGCGAGCTATTGAATTGGATCAACAACTACCTATCTAATAGGCAACAACACGTTTTTATATCGAATTCTCTTTCTCGTGCTGGTTTCATAAAAGCAGGAGTTCCTCAAGGTTCTATTTTAGGCCCATTATTATTCTGAGTAAATATTAATGACAAATCTGATGTTTTGCTTTCTGCCTCTAGACTTTTCGCAGACGATACATCTCTCTTACACATATCTTCTTCCTGTCAAGAAATAGAGACTTTTTACTTAACCAAGACTTTGATTCTTTAAGTAAATGGGCCAAAAAATGGTTAGTAGATTTCAATGCTAGCAAGATCAATGTTTTATTTATCTCTAATGCGATAGAACTAGATGGAGATTTAGAATTACGATTTAACGACCAATTATTGAATTTTAGTGATCAACACAGGCATTTGGGTGTAGTCTTCAATTCTGCCGGTAATTGGGGGATAATATTTTAGCTACTTATACATCTGTTATGAAGAAAATAAATGTTCTTTGAAGTCCGAAACATATTCTTAAAAGAGAAAGAAAATATATAACTCTTATGTTTTGCCAATTTTTGATTACTGTTGTAAATTATGGGACGGGTGTACAATTAATAAAAGTGAGAGGTTAGAAAAATGTCAACGTGAAGCCGGACGTATCATTACTGGTCTTCCTTCCTATGCTAGTAAGTATGCTCTCTATTTTGAATCGGGGTTAGAAAGACTCTCAGACAGGAGAAAAAGAAGGACACTGCAGTTATTGTACATAATGAAAAATGGTACATGTGTATCACCCCTGAATTCTTAAACAAAATTCTACCCAATACAGTAAACCAAAATGTCAGATATCCTTTAAGATACAGTAATAACTTTGTAATATCAAATTTCAGACTTTCTAGCACAAATTCATCTTTCCTACCTTCTACGCTTCGCTCTTGGAACAATTCAGATACTGCTAAAAGACCACCGGTCACTTTAGGAAGATTAACTAAAAAAAGCCATCTCTCGAAAATTGGACACCAAATCGCCCAGTTATTTTGGTTATGGTGAACGAAAACTAAATATCATTCACACTAAATTAAGGTACAACTGCAGTTCCCTAAATTATGATTTATTTAGAGTCAGCATCGTAGATAGTCCCGCCTGTGTCTGTGGATCTCCATGTGAAAACGCCTATGATTTCTTGAATGTCCAGTTTATACACACCAGAGGTTTGAATTGTTTCAAAATCTAAATTTTGTTAATGAAATCTCCAGATAAATTGTTATCTGGTATTCCGGATCTGTCTTCCCAACAAAATAATGATATTTTTCGTAACGTGCAAAATTTCATAAAGACCAGCGGTAGGTTTTAAATTCATAAGGCGTTTTATACTTCTATACTCAATTTGTGAGACTGTTCAATGTTGTTTTTTTTTCTCTTTTTGTTTCTGTTGTTGTAATGCTACTATTATACATACTATCTGATACCCAGTTGTGCCATTTTTGTAAAACTGATGTATATATTTGAGGAAAGGGCGTAAATAATGTTGTAGTAACTTGTGCCCAATCCTGTTGTCACTATTTTGGCAATAAAATATGTTTAAACTAAAATACACCGGCGAATATTCATTCTTGCGGAAAAGGGCGAATATTTGATATGACTAAAGTGTCCCGGTATATGTATATAGATAAATCGTAATTACAGTAAGGTTATCATACATAAACATATGACAAGCGGTGATTTCAATTATTGATTCTATATATTCATCTGATGTTGAAACTCGATAATATTTTGTTGATAACCATGGTGTAGGCAATGTCCTGTGTGAAAATGTATAAGTCACCGGCTATATACTGTGAAGCTTATATTATTCCTGTCGATATAAACTGTATTTACTTAGTATGATAATTATGAAACAAGTTATTGCACTCTTTGTGGCCCGGATGTAAGCGCGAGGGAGTCTTAATATGGTAACCGGAGTACCCGGAGAAAACCGACGTGATCGGGCAGGTGACCCTAAATACCATTCCACGTATTGTTGAAAGCCAAGTGCGTTATCCATTACGCCACCCGATCACGCTGTTATTATTCCTGTTTATTGTTATTCTCATATTGTTTTTTGAAATGATGATGATAAGGATGATAGCAATAATGTCATTCTCATGTTGTTGTTATTATTATGACAAGGATGATGATGACGATGATGATGATGATGATGATGATGATGATGATGATGATGATGATGATGATGATGCTGATGATGATGATGATGACGATGGATGGATGGATGATGATGATGATGATGATGATGATGATGATGATGATGATGATGATGATGATGATGATGATCGTGGTTATGATGACAAGGACGATGATGGTGATGATAAAGTGTCATGATGATGATGATGATGTCATTTTCATGTTGATTTGATAATCATGACAAGGATGATGATGATGATGATGATAGTGGTGGTGGTGGTGTTGGTGGTGGTGGTGATCATGATGACGTGATGGTGGTGGTGGTGGTGATGATGATGATGGTGATCATGATCATGATGATGGTGATGATGATGATGTGATCATGATAATGATGATGTAACACGAGTAGTTGTAATTGTTTGTATGAGAGAGTGTATGTATATGTCATGTTTATGTATTGTAAATGTCCAAAATAGCTTGAAAAATAAAATCAATCATGACAAAAGAAAGTATTCCTGTTTAAAACACAACTATGGTTTCATTATATAGTTGACGGAGGTTGGACTGAATTTGAAGAGTGGATTCCAACCACGTGTTCGCTTTCCTGCGGTGAAGGTCAGAGGTCACTATCCAGATCAAGAACGTGTACGAACCCTCCACCGCAATACGACGGGAAAGCATGTGAAGGCTTCGACAGCGAAACAAACACCGAGACCTGCAACAGCAACCCTTGTCCAAGTAGGAACATTGACATACTGTATGATCTCGTTAGAGTCCCTACTGTAGCTACGTCACTGTTTTAATCATTCATGGGGACCAAGTGGTTTTAGCAAAGTTTTTTCTAACACAATATTGTAGGTATTTACCATCATGGACGAACACTGCAAAGTTGAAATTCAACGTAGAAAATTGTGATGTCAAAGTAATATTTTTTTCACATTTCCACTTTTATTAAAACATGTAGACTGAATAACGCTAAAATCGCCATATTTGTTTAGTATTATACTAGATCAGTAAGGAAACATGCGAGTATTGCATCAACAACCAGAAGGTCACATGGTACCAGTTACACAGGGTTGAATTGAATGGCGGAGTGTTTTAACCAAAATAAGGTGCGATGCTACCTAACGTAGCCATGTGTTTTATATACGTACCCACAAAATTAACATGTATTTCAATAAAATATATATATATGCAGAATGATAAACATGTTTTTACGAAGGGTGCCTCGGTAGCGCCACGGACTTAGATAACTAATCTAATTCCGTGGTAGCGCTGAACGCTAACGCGCGTAGTCATTTAATAAACTTCAGACCTCTCACTCTCGACAGAATATCGGTTCGATACCCAGCGGTGGCAGACGAGGGGGAGTGGTGTCTGATAGGGTTAGTTGTTATCCCTGTGGGTTTTCCTCCACCATTAAAAAAAACACCTTTGTTCCTTTAGCAGTGTCGTAATAAAAGATGTACATAACTTGTTTGTTGTTGATTATGTATACGGCATTCAATAAAGATTATTTGTTTATTTATCAATATCTATTATCAATGTTTATCTGTTTCTTTTTATAGTCGATGGTGTTTGGTGCGACTTTAACGAACTTGCTTGGACTTCATGCTCAGCGCAATGTAGCAAGACAGGGACGCAGACGCGAGCCTGCGATTGCCCGCCAGCCCAACACGGGGGTGCCCCGTGTGACGGAAGCGACACTTATACCGAGACAATGGATTGTTATGAGGGGGCATGTCTTGGTAAGCAGCTAGAACAAAATCAGTTTAGATCCTCCGCTTTCCGTGATTTATGTGTTATCTGTGACTTCTACATTTGTGTAATCTCATCAGAATATTGGATTTATAATAAATCTGCATCAATACCTGTTTAATGTTATTAAACAGTTACATATTATTTAATGCAATTAAATGAGTTGATAAAAGGAAAAAGCGTTAACTGTTCTTTATCAATTTGTTGTTCTGTTTTTGTTTGTTTGTACATGAGGGTTTTGTTAATGTTTGAGTGAAAACTATCGACATTTGGCTATACAAAGATACATATATCTTTAAAATCATGGTATCCACAGTAGCATCTAACTGTCAGTGAAAACAAAAAATAATTACGTGTTGGACATTCAACTTTTCTCATTATATATTCTGTTTTTGATGTTTCATTTTGTCCCGACACTTTGTTCTACAACAGTCCAAACCTGTGATGCCGCTGCTAAGCCGAGTTCCTCCTTGCCAAGGAATTGCGGAGAGTACGTGAGATGCGACACCAACCCCGAGCCCCTAGTGATGCCCTGTCCAGCTGGCCTTCATTTTGATGACGCCACAGGCGTTTGCGTAGCGGGAGATTGTGGAGGTTTGTAGACAGCTCGTGCCAAAGAAAAACATCCATGATACAATACGGGAAATACAAAACTTTACATAATCGCGTGACATCTTTACACATACTTACTTAAACACGTGACATTTTTACAATAATTTTCCAAATCACGTGACATCTTTAAAATGATTTACTTTATCAAATGACATATTTACAATAATTTGCTTAGTCACGTGACATATTTACAATAATTTACTTCATAACGTGACATCTTTTCCATAATTTATCTAATCACGACGCGTTGACACCATTAAAGTAGTATACTTCATCACGTGACATACAATTGTATTAACTAAACGGCAAAGTTTCTGTTTAAAATTATATACATACATATGCAAACTTATTTGTGATATTAAAACAATCAACGTGATTAAACCTTCACGTCTGTGCATTTCATTTTAACTAAAGGCAAAAATAGACTTGAAACAATATTTCATTAGCATTAATATAATATTTAGTTTAATTACAAAGGTTTTTCAAACATCTAGAGTGTAAAAGCAATGAGCAAACTTATTCTGCAAGCATACCTATGCTAGGCAAACTGTATTGTGCAGTGTAATTAGTTTTGGCATAATGCATCTATTGCCAATTTCAAAGGTTCAATCACGTGTGCGTCTTAGTCCTACGTCCATTTTTCAGAAAATAATTATTATTGTGTACCCATTCACGACAAATAAACGTCATTTACCTATATTTACCTTTACACTGCAAGTTTCTCTAAGTATTAGCGGACGAAATTGCGTTCACAGAGCTGTGAACGCAATTTGATCAGCGTCATTTTGAAGCTTCTTCCCCCGCCTCAAATTACATGAGACAACCGGTAGAGGCAAACATTTTGGTGACGTTAGGCCGTTCCAGGAATCTCGTTTACATTATCGATACAGACACTTCAAAATTTAGGTTAATAAAAAGATACAGCCATACAATGTAAATATAACGATTGAACGACACTTTTTCAAGGTTCTTGTCGGTATGAAATTGACGAACATGCTGTTCAGTCCTTATCAACAAAGTACAATGTACACATGTACGTTGATTGTGTGTTTTTTATCTTAATACATTAAAGGTCGGGCTTGTATAGATCTTAATACGTTAATTTTAGGTTTGTATTGATCTTAATGTGTTAATTGTAATGTTTGTATTGATCTTAATGCGTAAATTGTGTAATTTGCAGAGATAGCTGAAGACGAAGTTGATTCCCCATGTAACTCGGACAACAACGGAGCCTTCGTGGCGGATGACGTAGACTGCACCGTGTTCTACCAGTGTTCGAACGGAGTCGCCATACCGATGTCGTGTCCTGCCGGCACAATGTGGGACGCGTTACTTAAAACGTGCGTGAATGGAAATTGCCAGGTTGAAGTAGACGATGATGTCGAAGATGAAAAAGAGGACGGTGCCGCATGCGCAAACAGCGACACTGGAACGCTGCTTCCGGATCCGGAGGATTGCCACAAGTATATTATGTGCGCAAACAAAAAAGACGAATCTAGGTCATGTGGGTCCTTGGTCTTTGACCCAAACATATCCGTTTGCAATTGGGAAAGTGTTACAAACCCGTGTACTACCAAACCATAGATGCACGAGCGCAGACAGTGAAATGTAATAAATATACTTCATGCAAGCTAATGTTTCGCGAAGCTTCGTGAATTTTACATAGAATCCTTGTTCTTACTGTATTGTTGAGCATAGAATATTCCATTATACAGAATATTGATAATGCAATTGCTCTCGTTTCTAAACTATATCACATATATTGTATACATACATCTCTCTGTAAATAAAAGTATATTTTAATAAAGATAATACCTGATGTTGATTTATTTCGGTTGTCGTCAAACATTGGTTTGTAAGAAAATAAAAGGTTGAATTAATAAGTTAAAGAATCTGCATGTTTTATAGCAGATTGGGGCAAACATACATTATAATTATCAATACTACATATATTTCAGTAGTCAATTTATTATAAATGTGTTGTGGCTTGTATACGTCCCTTTTTACTGCAAACATTTCTCTCTGAGCAGTTCATCCTTGATACATGTACTCCAGGGGTTACGCTCACTTATGCTCTCTGCACCCCTGAACTATGTTATAGCAAAATTGAAGAAATACCGCTAGATATTTTATTCGTCTCAGCTAACAGAAATCCTGATTAATCGCTAGGCTGAACCTGTCCTTGGAGAATAACAGAGGAGCGACACCTGACTTCAAAGCAACTCATTTGTACCGTTATGCTATCGCGAGATTTACACGTTGGTTAAAGGGAAACAACTCCTATTTGGACTTGGTCAGCAGGTCCTTAAAAGCTGACAGTGCAAGTTACAAAGCTTTCAATTGAGATTAAAAAAACAAACAATCTGGTTTAGAGATCTTTCCCATCTCTTCCTTCTATCGTTTCTAAGAAAGTGCCGACATTTTAATCTGCCCATGCTTGGTAACGAGTATGGGTCTCGCTGGGTATAAAAAGCGCATTACCCGTCAAACCGGTTATCATTTGTTCAATTAGTGCACAAGGTGACACTACTATACTATATATATGTAGAACACTTTCACGCACAATTTTTTACCAATATTTTGTATCAGATCAGTTGTATTAAGTTGGAATTGAACACATCTAAGAAGAGTGTAAGTAGTAGAAAGATACGACCAATTAAAATATCTAATGCACAAGCCCTGCTATGCCCCCCCCCCC